CCCCTGATGTCATATGCCATTAAAACTACTGCACCACCAGTTTCTATTCTGTTTGCCGTGTGGAACCTGGGTCTGATTGGTGAGATACACAGGTCTTTAGCCGAAGAAGTCTGATTTTTGCTGGTGAAAAATCACTTCATGAAGTGTGTGTGTGGTCTTATTTCATGTACAATTTGGGGGTAGTAGTTTGTAAAATATCCTACATGCGGGGACTTACAGGTACATAAGGGGACATTCAACTGGTCCACATATGGTAAAGTTCTGTTCTTTGAGTCGGGGTTAGGTTAAGAACTAAGGTGTGAATTCAGTTCAGGTTAGGGTTAGGTATATGTTACTAATAGTTAGGGTAAGGGTCTAGGTTAGGCAATTAAAATTAATGCAAGTCAGTGAAATGTCTCTATATGTCTTGAAAACAAAGCTGCTTGTGTGGGTGCGTGTGTGAATAAGCATGTGAGTGACTGTGCATGGGTTGGTCTCTTTTCCCAATTTGTCCAGAGAGTTAATAGTCTGATCACTTAAAACTTTACTATCTAAAGAAATGTAGCTAATTGCATCAAGTCAATGATTTTGCAGGATTTGCTACTCCTGGATGAGCATATAGCAAGTATATTAACTTGCATTGTTTTGTTGACTATGGAAAAATCCCCTGCACTAAGTAAGCTTGCTGTGACAGTGGAGAGGAAAATCTCTCTTTTAACAGGAAGAAACCGCTAGCAGAACCAGGCTCAGTGTGAGTGGCCTTCTGTCGAGACCATAAATGAAAGAAGCCAGAAGCAGTGATCCATAAACACTTTCTATGTTAGAAAATGTATCAGTTATCTAGCTCTGTAGGGGGCTCTGTCTAGGAAAGAAGCAGCTAAGCAGATGAGATCTGAGGCAGTTTTCATGTCAAAAGGGATGAAAGAGAGCACATACAGATGTTTACGGTAAAAACTAACCTCATATGTCTTGGAGGGAAATAGGACTAAGCACTAAAAACAGGCCAAACTCGATCATCAATAATCAGATGTGAGAATTGCAGCAGCACAGCTGATATTTCTTACCAGGACAGTGCCCCAGCCACACAGACCCAGACCAGATGTAGCTACTATGGCAAGAAAAAGCAGCGATAACATAAAGTTAGAACTTTAACCAATGAATAATGCAGTAGAATGAGACAGAATGATAAAAACCCGTCCCTGTGTGCTCTGGCAGCCTAAGCCTAAAGCAGCATTAAAGAGAAGGATCAGTAAAACCTAAGCCGCTTCAACTTAAAGCTTAATCTGAAAGGAACATTTTAACATTAGCCTTAAAATTAGTCTGGGTGTATGCCTCACAGACTAAAACTGGTAGCTTGTTCCAGAGGAGAGAATCTTGATAACTAAAATATTTGTCTCTCATTCCGCTATGGAAATTCTACAAACTACTTGGAGAAATGTGATTTAATTTAATTTAAGTTTTAAAAAGAACTCTTGCATCAGCATTTTGGACGAGCTAAAAGTGTCAAATGCAGTTTGTGGACTTAATTAAGAATTACAATTGTCCACTGGACAAGATATTTTTATTGTATGCAGTATGTTGGACATGAAAGAAGGAAATAGTTGAGACCTCATCATTAAAAGACCTAATTGACAGTCCTGAAAAAATAAAAAACACGGGTTCTTTACGTTATTATCTGAGACCAATTGAATCCCATTCAGATTAAGTGACTGAAAAATGAGCTTTGTTTTCAAACTCTCTGGTCCAACTGCAACTACTGTTTTGTATGCATTCAAAAGCAGATAGTTTAGTCATCCAGATTTGCATGTCTACATAATCAGTCAATATCTTTAGGATTTATAGAAAACTATAGTAAAGATGGGTGTCGTCAACACAACAGTGGAAATTATTCCCACCCTGTCTGATACCCACTAAAATCATATAGTAAAAAGAATTGGCCCTAGCCAATGTACCTGTGATACTCTGCAGCTTGAAGGAGATATATCATTAACATGAACAAACTTGAGCCTGTGCAGTTACATTAATCCCTACAGCAGGTTCAAGCCTTTCTAAAAGAATATAGTGATTCACTGTATCAAATTTAGCACTGAGATTTTACAGGACAAATACAAATACAAGTCCATTATCTAAGGCCATGATGATACTATTAATGACTATTATCGGTGCTATTTCAATGTTATGATGAGCTCTAAAACCAGATTCAAAACTCTGACTAAAAGTTAATTATGGGTTATATCAGACATTTGATTTGAATAATTTTCTCAAATTTTTTAATTAGGAAGAAAGACAGTGGCGTTGGATGTAGGAGTTTGCCCTGAAATCGAAGGGTTGACGGTTCAAGCCCCGACTCCGACTTTCAGTGTTGTTGTGTCCTTGGGCAAGACACTTCACCTGCATTGTCTACTGATGGTGGTCAGAGGGCCCGGTGGCGCCAGTGTACGGCAGCCCCCGCTTCTGTCAGTGAGCCCCAGGGCAGCTGTGGCTACAATGTAGCTTGCCACCATCAGTGTGTGAGTGAATGGGTGAATGAATGTAGTGTAAAGTGTTTTGGTCAAGTCTCCTAACTTGAATAAAGGCGCTATATAGGTACATGCCATTTACCATTTATATATGTAGGTCTGTAACTGATCAAGTCATGTGGATCAAGATAAGGTCTCCTAAGTAAAGGTGTAATAACATACCTTAAAGGAGATTTTTTTTTCTTTTCATTAACCAGGAACATATAGTCATTAGATGTGTTGACTCATTTAACTGTTTTTATTAACCTTTCTCCATTCATTTATTTTGATAAGCCATGTTATGGAATTGTGCTTTCTAATAAATACATGTATTTGTGAGGAATTTTTATACTTATACATTCATTTACAGTAGATGGTTTCATGTAATGTTTGCTGGGGTGGTCCAATTACTTAAAGGGAAATAAGCAGTTATACAATTAACATTTAAAAGTAAACCTATGGTGGGACAGAAATGTGTATGAGTGTAGACAAAAATACTATGTTTTATTCATAGCTCTTCTTCTTCTGTGATCAATTCAGTTCAGTTTATTCACAACCCATGTCATCTCAAGGCACTTTACAGTTCACCAGATCATACAGTAAATTGATTCAAAGTTTTCTATCTAAGCATAGAAAAACGCTTAACCAAAAGCGAGCAGCAAAATAAGGTCTCCTTAAGCAGAATTATAAAATAAACCAGTTAATGAAATTTTTTTTCTTAACACTAACATGAGACAGGAAGAATGACCAAGATTGTTTACAGTGTCCAGGATGCAGAATTCATAGAAACAGAAGAGGAAGGTAGGTATTCGCTGCTTAAATCTCTTTGCTTCCGTACTATTGCATATGTCCACAAGATGTCAGCAGAGATAAAGAAAATGTTACAAGCTAAAATAGATTGTAGTCCTAAGGCCTGGAAAAGCTTCAATTTACAGAAACTAGATCCTGCTGCAACACCAGAATACAAGGCTATGTAAAAATAACTACATCATAGATCATATTTGTCTCTCAATTATTTAAAAATTTGGTTACATTCATTAACAGAAAGGTTTGCCTTGATGCTGAATCACTGAGTTTTTCACCTATAGGCTCAAAGCTAAAAAGCTGTTGACCAGGTTTTGGCTGACTTGTTTGTTCAACTTAACAAACACTTAGTGCTTAGAGCCAAAGATATATTAAGTGTGAGCTGCAGCCTCCTTATTCAAGGGCAAGCTGGCTCATGTTAGAATTTGTCAATATTCCGCATTTAGACCTTGTAAAAGAACACTGTGACAGCATAACTGAAACATCTCATTGAAAAACTTGAATGAGCTGAAAATAACAATTTAAACGCACAAACGTGCAGCAAATTAAAAGGGAACATGACAGTAAAATCAACTGCTTTACTATTTTTGTATTACAACCACATTTGTTTTATTGAGATTTTCTCTGATTTGCCAACACAAAGTAGTGCACTATAAAAAATCAGAATGTTTTGTATGATACAGTATCATATAATCTACTGATGCCCAACCCTCTACTTTTAGTAACTAAGCAGTTCTGAGAGCAATAGTCACAAAAACAGCTAAGAGGCCCTATGGATCACTGGAGGGGCTGCAGAGTTTCACAAACCTTAAGTACAGTGGAACAAACTCTTAACAGGACAGCTATCAGTCACTATCAAAACATCTGGCCTTCATGGAAGAGTGAAAAAATAAAGATATTATTGAAAGAATAATAATAAAAAAAACTTTACTGAATTGTTCCACCATGGGACAATAAAGGTATTTCCCTAGCTCCTTCTTTAGATCATGAACTACTTTGCAATTGCCTGACTGTAGAAAAAAAAAAAATAAATAATAATAATAATAATAGAGGTTTCTGATTTTACAGCAACAGATATGCAAAAGTATGCAAGAGTATATAAACAGTAGGAAGGTATACTTAAATCCATTCCTGTTATGTTTTTTTTTTTTATAAATAAGTTTAGGTTTTTCCTAAAAAAGAAGCCTGTTTATATGCATATTTTCATAATAAAAGAGACGGTTGATTTTTGTAATTAGTTAATTGTAAATTTGGAGATTCTAAATGATATCCCTCCTCTGCTGTTTGTCCCACATGTGAAAGTGGGTGTGAGATCCCAAGCGTGCTGCTGTCCTCATTGGCTGCCGGGGGAGCGGCGCTGCTGTGTGTATTTTAGACCGTTGGAGCCATAGATATCCATGTTGGAGCGATTCTGTGGTCTGCAGAAGTCTCGAACAGCGTCAAGTCAATATTAAACAGGTAGAGCACCACCGGAAGTGTATTACTGTCAAAATAAGAGCACGCACTGGAAACATCCGTCTGTAACCACAGTAAAAACTTCTCACCCACCATAAAGATTATACAAATACCGGCAGGTTAACTATGTTAACTTTGTTTTGCTTAAATCGGTTCTACTAATCGTTTCCAAATAGTGTGCGTCTGCACACTGGGGTTTATTGTGAAGATGCTCAACCTCGGTTCTGTGGACAACTGTGCGCACTTTGATGCTGCAATGACTAACAGGAGCGACTCTGTGGAGTGCACCGACTGGTTTGCTCGGCAGGTCGCTGGTGCTGCAGCTGCTGGAACATCTACAGTACAGCTATAACGGAGGAGAAGTAACTCATTGAAAAGGAATAACGCGGCTTTTGGCTGCAGGCGTTCACACTTAAAGAGAGGAACCAAGTCCTTCGTCCATGGCCAGTCCGGCTGCAGATTTTGGACAGTCTCATCAGCATCCCCCTGTCACACAGTCGGCCGCCGACTCTGCGTTTCTGGAGGCGCAGAAATGGATAGAGGTAAGTTTGGATCATGTTTTCTTTAAGCACAGGTGTTTGTTTTTATACAGTAACCTTAGTCACTGTTCTGTAATTCATCTCTTTTTTGAACTACATGACGTTTTATAGTTTCTTCACCTGTTGAAACTAGAAAAAAACCCAATATATTACAAATAAATTCCTACACAGATTACCTATTGTTTCAAGCATTGCCTTATATCAGTATAATATAAATCCTTATATTATCCTTTAAACATTTAATATAAGCACCGGTTCATTATACTCTCCTAATACTTGCAGAATGGGCCCAGTTATTTCTGTTATTTAGTGGCTGTTGCATGGTGCATGCTCCCTGAAAACAATGAATGCATCATGTGGAATGGATTTTTGCCCCATTGCAAGCCTGGTCAACAGTGTTCTCACACAAGCAAGGTTTTGTTTAGTGAGAATTTCAATCACTGCACTTGTCAACCTCCATTGCTTTTGAGTGTCATCATGCTTTCAGCTGCCCTCTTGTCAAAGCACAGCTAACCATCTAATCATCTGCCTCTAATGTGGACAACTTCTTGTAAGGTTGCATCCTTTTTGTATAAATAAGATTCAAACAATCTAAATTGCAGTAGTGGAGATCTCCTAAACCTATATATATATTTTTTTGTAAGTTATTTTTATTTATGATAATGCAGAGCAGAAGCTTTCTGAAGATGTTTGACTATCTGAAGATGGTTGTTATTCTCTGTTGGTGAAGCCTTTAGGCCGTAAAACCTGTTCTACTGTTTTTGGTTATGTTGTCTAATGCAGGGAGATTGCACCATAGGATACTTATTGATTGAGCACATAAAATACATCCTTACCAGTTGAAACCTCCTCCAAGTAAAACACAAATCCTGGAAAAATACAGAAATATTACATAAATAAACATTTGAAGCTTTTTATATGGGAAATCAATGCTTTATTCTCTACTAGAAATATACTTATTAGGTTATTTATTTTTTGACTCATATTTTGGCAGCTCCTAATTTCTTCCATAAGGAGTAAAAATATGTCAATATGAGTATCAGTATGAATATATCTCATATTTCTTCTTATATATGTTTGTACAACATAGCATCTTTTATTACCTTCACTGAAAGACCAATGAACATGTCAGGCGTCTTTGCCGGCCTATTTCGCAGCTTCAAACTCCTTGGAGGACTATGTCACATCTTTAAAAAGCCACCATTGACCTAGAATTTGTGAGGCTTTGAGCAGAGGAGTGGAAGTGAACTGAAACTGCTTCTTTGTTGTTCCCCTCTCAGCTTTCTCTCTTGGGGCCTGACTTGATTATCCCCTCACACCAGTTGACTGTCGCTTGCTCCTGATAAAGCTCATAAATTCAAATCTTCATTCAACATCTTTACATCCACTTATATTTAGCTGCTGCTTTAGGTAAAATGTCAGCATCAGATAGAAGGTTATACATGGAGAAGAAATCAAAAGATACACAGAAGAGTTGAGGCTAGCTTGATCTCCTCACCAGTTTACTGATATTTAAAGCTAAGTTTTTCCTTTGCCTTATTTGAAGGCTCTTTAACTAAAAATTTGAATGTTGGCCTATCCATATTCCATGCAGAGTGAAATATGCTGAAGAAGATTCTCAGTCATCCAGGTCATAGTCATTCCAAAAAAGTAAAAAAAAAAAAAAAAAAATTCACTGGACTTTGTTTCCAAGTTTGAAGACGTTTTGCTTCCCATCCAGGAAGCGTTTTCAATTCAAAATGTCAGAATAAGTGTTGAGTTATAAGCTTTATATAGTAAGCTTTATATAGTTACCTAAAAGCAAGTTTTTGGGCTACTATATAAACTTCAAACACTAATTCTGACCTTTTTAATTGAAAAAGCTTCAGTCCAGTGGATTTTTTTTTAAACTGTTTTGGAAGGACATGCAGAGTGGAAATACAGTAAATGCTAACATAGTGTGGATTTGTCAGAGAGAGAAAAACGGAATTACTCCCTTAAGTTATTTTGGAGATGGTTCATGCTAACTAAATATGGCTAACTTCTCTTTCCACTATTTTTACGAGTCTTATTTCGGCAGGTGGTCTCACCCTAATTAGTTTGAATGCTAAAATTATTTATATTACACTAGTGGGTTGTGTGTTTATTAATAGTAAGACATGATGGTAAATGAGTGTGTCCTGATTTTTTTGGATTTATCTTGCATTAAAGAAATGGAAAGTACATTTTCGCAGATGTTTGTTTTAAGAATACAAGAGTGTAGGGGCTCTGTAATACTTTGGTCAGTGCAATGGAAACCATTGAAATCTGCCATTCATACCAACCTAATCTTGACATGTATACCTTCTACCTAAGTACTGCTGTATGCCACAGGCAACCCTTTATGGAAACAGTATTCTCAATGGCTGTGACCTCTTTCCACAGGATAATACTCCTGCAACAAGGCAAAATATTTTAGGAATACTTTAAACCAACACTCATAAAATATTTCATAACCTTTGTTATTATAAGTCGACTTAAAACTAGCTGAATGAGACCTCTGTCATAGCCTGAGGGGGTCTGTATGTCTTTCACCAACACTAAGCAACTTAGAGTAGGGTGGCAGTAACCCTGCTATGCAAAACAACCACAAATGCACAGACTGCTTTCTTATTTTCAATATCATCATATGATATTGTTTCCCCACAGATAAATTCATTATCTCATCACTAGTCATTCTTTCACACAGTGTCTTGAAACAGAAATGTAGTTCAATCCAACTGCAGGGGACCGGGAGATCAGGTTTTTTCGATGCAATGCGCTGCTGCTCATGGGAAATGGGGTCTTCCTTCAGGCAAAACAATACAGCTTTTGTCCACCGTGGGGAGCCAAAAGCGACCAAAATTGAAAGTTATTTTGTACTGCTTTAAGCAACATAAGGTTGAATTGTAGGTGTTCAGTTGTCGCTCCAAATTCCAACTATGCCAAGGAATGTTACTACCAAAAGGACTTAAAGGATCTTATCATGGGCTGCTTTGGTAGCAAACGGGCAACCGACACTGGGTTCATGATGTCATACCCAGTTTTGTTTAATCCATTAAGCACATCTTCAGCATCTTATTTTTACAGATGAGGCGAATATTGTTATATATGTACATAAAGAAAAAATGCCAACTTCAAATTCCCATATTTTAACTTAAGATATGCTCCAGCAACAAGATTCAGACAAAAGGAATCCAGCAGGATTCTTTGAAACAATCCAGAACTTCAGCGAAGAATTGACACCTGCAATTATGACTTCTTTGATAGGTGTCTTTTCTCACTGTCATGTCAGCAACATGTCACTAATGATGGTGCTGTAGTTCCTCTGAACTTCAGAAGAGTCTGGCTGGCCGTTTGATGAGAGAAAAAGCCCACACTTTGTTAGGTTGAATGATTTGCGTTGTAGAGCCACAGGGCGTTTTGTATAAAGGGAATTCTTGATGACACCATCTAACTGTGTCTTCTTCTCTCTGAAACATCAGTATTTTGATCAATTATCTCTCTTCTAACTGGTGGTTTAGGGCAGTTCTACCTCCAGCAGTAATAAGAAATTATAACTGCAGGGGTGAACAAATGACAGGTTGTGTCATTTCAACAGTTGCTTTGTTCTCACTGAATTCAAGACATATGTATTGTAAGATGTTCAACTGAAATTCTTGAACAAATTAGAATAACCTAAAACTTAAAGACGAAATCAGAAATAATGCTTTTACATAATAGTAACTTCCTTATTTTACAGAGGGCTTATTAAATCAGCTGACAAGTCTTTGACATGTTTACAGAGAGTTAATCTGCAAAACAGTACATTTCAGTCATTTCTTTTTCAAATAGCTTTTATGAACACATTTCAGTGATTATTCTGTAGACTTAAGTAAATTGCTGTATTAAATGGATTATCAGCATCAACAATGTCTTTCTGATGTAGCTGTTTAGCTGTGTTATCTATCTCATTGTGATATAAATAATGCTTCTTTTTACAATGAATTTTGTCCAGAGCTTTTGTAAGCTTTTTGTGTTTTCTTTTAAAGTAATGACAGATTTAGAGATTTTGAATAAATATGAATTGACCTGAATAAAAAAAGGGATGCTATTGACTTGATAATGTTTCTGTTCTGAGCAGACAGGGAAGCAGACTGATCAGTGTTATAAAGTTTCTGTTCAGTGTTGTTATTACCATGATTGATACCTTATTTTTCATCTGGCTTTTGAAGTATGTACATATTATTTTACCTTTCCGACTATGATTGCCTTTGATGTAGGTCCAAGTGCCAGCGTCTTTCCTACAAAACAGATAGAACACACTAGATGTAGATCCAGCTATCAACCCAATGCAGACTTGCTCTGATGAAAAAACAACTTGTGAAATGACATTTTGCCAGTCTTAGCTGGACTCTATCTGTTTTTACATGTTATATTGTTAAATTCTACTGAGGTTTTCTTGTCATGTGGTGAAAAAGCTGTGTTCTGCTTCTGGATTCATGCCTTTGGCTAAAGAGTCTTTGCTTATTGTAAGTGGATTTTAATCTAATCTTTTGTTTTATATAAGATTGCCTGTGTCTGTCACAAGATCTGCAAACCAGATCTTGTGACAGAAACAGTCTGTGCTGTTTGAGAACAGCTTGTGCGAATCAAAGTGGTTGCTTTCAAAAAGTGCACATCCTCCTGGAGCTTCAGAGAAACTTAAATATCTTTCAGTATTTAAAGGGTGCCTATGTCAATAAGTGTTTCAATGCTCTTTGTAACATGGACAGGGGGACATAATTCAAGTATATCAAATATCATAAAATATCTCATTCTGGATTCTTCTTCTTGATCTTGATTTGGCCCTACCACTTACTGAACCATCAAAGACTATAATATATATGGCATAGTATGGATCTGTGAACAAACCAGTGTGGCTTCTGCTGACATCAGCACTCTTTAGTGTCGACACTGTTACTGAAGGAATAAGATGAGGCAGTTCCATTAGTCTCTGATGCCTTAATAGTCACCTCAGAGGAGGA